CTCCTATCACTGACGAGGCTTGGCCTGAAAAGGCTTCTCTCTGCATTTGGGTCCTACTGTGCTGAGAATCACTTGTCCATTAACTACGACAAATCAAAAGTCTTGGTGTTCTCTAGTGCCCGGAAGTTACACAACTGGGCTATTAAGGGTAATGCTGTTAAGCAGGTTTCCCATTTTAAGTATTTAGGTATACATTTTCAGAACACTGGTGCTTGGACTAGACACCGAACCCAGGTGCTGAATTCAGCTTTTTGTAGCCATCAGCAGATTTTAAGATTTTTCTATACCCAAGGTGGCCAATTTATTCCTTCTGCTCTGCGTATTTACAAAGCCAAAACCTTGGCCCAAACTCTTTATGGAATTCCGATATGGATACAGGGCTTCAAGGAGTGTATTGAAAGAACGCAGGCTGCTTTTTTAAGGAAACTTTTGGGTCTCCCTCCCTGTGTTGGCTTTGCTCCGATGTATCTGGAACTGGGCATTCGATCAGTCGAATGCATGGCGTGGATCAACACCTTTAAATGGTGGTTTCGGGCACTCTTTTTGGCAGCCCCTGGCAGCTACCTCTCCCTGGTGTTAGCTGACCCCTATACATCTCGGTGGGAGAGGGATCTGACGAAGAAACTCCACCTGTTAGGTTTTTCGGGGGATGCCATGGGAGACTATGGCCTTAAAGATGCCCAATGTAGGGTAGTCCAACGGCTTGTGGACATAGACTTACAATATCTGAGAGCTAGAGCCAATAAAACCTGCTCCCCTCTGGTCTTCAGCCAACTTAATAATTTTGGACTGAGGATGGCCTCATATTTCTATACTCTAACCATCCCTAAGTATAGAAGAGTCTTCTCCCTTGCTCGTTTTAACGTCTTGCCTTCAGCATTGCTGGACGGTCGATTCAAGAGGCTTCCGAGGGTCGAGCGGCTATGTCCCTGTGGTAGAGCGGAGGTTGAGACTGTGGAGCATGCCCTTTTACACTGCCCCATGTACAACGTAGCCAGGACTAATTTGATGTCTCTCTTAGAGACAGATTTCTGTGGGCCCAATGATAGTGATTTGGCCTTGTATTGTCTAGGGGATGGCTCCTCATACACTACCTCTCAGGTTTCAAAATTTTTTCTAAGAGCCGTAACCATTAGAGGAGAGCGCTGTGGTCCCTCTCAGCCGGGGCTTCCGGTGGCCGGCTGTTCGTGATGTTCTTTTCCCTATGTTTTTCTGTAGCTATGCTTGCATTTTGGTCTGTGACCGTAAATAAATTTATTATTATTATTATACCTGGAGGAGTCCCTCTCTATGAGAGCGTACTGGCTGGTGGGAGGCTATTGGTGGTAGTAGGCGGTCCCGTAAATAGTGATCCTGTTGTTATCTTAAACTGAAAAAGTATGCTAGTTAATACCGCTAACTAGCCTTAAAAAGAAGAGCTAATTCAGGATCTCCATTTGAATATACCCTCCATTTGCTTGGCTGCATATTTGTTTTGCTTTGTTTTTTCACATTTTAAAATCGCAATAATCTCTGTTGCGCTGAACTGTTTTGGCAGTACCGTTTAATTAGTCCTATAAACATTTTCATAAATTCAATACCTTTTTATCAGTTTCTTTCTCTTTTATTTTTTGTCACAGTTGCTTTATGTACTTACACCTCATAAATGCCAGAGTCAGTGTATTCAAAACTGCAATATTCAATCAAATTATCCCTTGATATATGTCAAAAATGTTCTAAATGGTTTTGGCCCATATTTTAATATCTTTGCTCTTCCAGATAAATGGTCTGTGAAATCTAGTAATTACAATGACTTCCCTTGCCAGATCACTGAAGTATCAGAGAAGGGTCGGCATTATAACGACAACAAATTAATCAGAAAAGTCCATCTCCAAGCACATTCTCACAATGGCTTCAATATGGAATGGCCCCCAAATGTCTCTTAATGTTCTTTTTCTGCATACTGTTGTTCTATTTCATCATGGGATATTAAACATATTTCAGCTCATAGGACAGGCTCAGATGTGTTTGCAGATATTGAAAACAAATGTTGGAACTGGATGAGTGATAATATTGAAGCAATAACTGTGTCCTAGTAGGCATACTTGTTTAATGGTTTGCATAGGGTTTTTTTGGTACAAACTTCGCAATTTCTACTCCTAACATAAATTGAAGGATTTTCCCCCCTCACTGTTGAAGTTTGGAAACAATTTTGTGTCAGTGAAGTAAATTAAGGGAAGGCATTACATAAAGTAAAATTAATGACCAAAATACTGTATTGTAAAGTTCCTTTTGTTTGAATAAAAAGGAATAGAAGTCAGCAGCAACATGCATTGCCGTAATCCTGAGCTATTTCCAAAAGTGATAAAATGTGCATTATAAGGGACAGAATGAAAATGTTTGTGATTCATAGAACTTTTAATTAGACAATGAAGAATTCTGAGAAATGCAAAATGTCTCCAACAAAAGTTAATTTAACAAATCGCATAGTTTCACAAGCTACTACTTCTATTTCTCTTTTTAAAAATCCATATAAATAATTCTTAGTTATAAATGAACAAGAAAAAAATGAGCCGCTACAGAGAGAATTATTTTTCTAAATGTTGTTACTTGGTTTCTGACTGCATTAGTATAAATAATCCAAATTGGAAGAAATTGTGGTTGTTTTCCATGGAAAATATAGCAGTTGTTAAATACCCTTAATAGTGTAATCCGTATCTTTTAAAAAGATTGGCCATGGATTATTTTCTTCCAAAGTTTTCAAACATAAATGCCAGAAACTTAGTTGCTTTGGATTTTTTCTTATTGCTTTTGAAGATTTTTGTTTAAATCTTTCTCTTTAATACTTGGCAAGCAGGACAAGAAAAAAGTGAGATAACAAAGAGATTTCTTATCAGCTGTCCTGCTCCTGTTAGCTTTTTGGTTGCCTGCTATAGAAATGGGAAGAAGGAGGAAAATTGACTGTTTTGTCATTATTATCATGCAGGAATCTCTGTTCCTAAAGATGAACTTCCCTTTTCTATATTACAGAGAACAAATCCTTCAGTTTGTTCCTTTAAATCATGCATACCCTGTCAGAGCTGGTGGATGAAAAATAAATAACTTAAGAAGCTAGATGAATGAAAGCTAACTGAAAAGGGGTTCCTGTGCTTAGAAATTTTATTTGAATCCACACAAAAAAAGAAAGATGGCTAATTAATCCACACATTTAATTGAGTAATTATTGTTTGATGCCACTTCTGATGAATCTAAGCACTTAAAACATTTTTTTATAGTTTGGAATGACTTCAATAATAAGTAATTAATTGAAACTGATTGTGTTGGATTTCTAGCTTCTAGAAATAAGTCATGGATATTTATATTTATATTTAACATTATTTTTTTAATCCTACCTTTATTACTTTAAGCAACACAGTGCAGCAAACATACATAATACTCCTTCCTCCTATTTTCTCCACATTGATAGCCTGTGAGTTTGGGCTGAGAGAGAAAGAGTGACTGGCCAGATGAGTGAAGTCATCCATCTGGTTTCCATGCTTAAGGTGGGAGTAGAACTCACAGGCTCCTTTAACTGCTATACCCAACCTCATCTATATAAAAGAATCTATACTATATTCATTTAGTTCATTTAGTGACTGTTCGAAGTGACAACATCACGGAAAAGAATGATTTATGGCCGTTTTTCATACTTACAACCAGGGATGAAATGCTACCGGTTCGGACTGGTTCGGTCGAACCAGTAGCAATGGCGGCGGGTGGTTCGGAGAACTGGTAGTGATGGCAGTGCAAGGCTCCACCCACCCACCCGGTCGTCGTTACTTCCTGGTTTTAACCAGGAAAAATTGGCATGCAACTGCTTCCCTGTGATGAGATTGTATTACAATTTCATTCATCTGATAATTCAAATGAATATTAAAATCTTGTGTTCTGTTCAGGGCGTGTGCCTAAAGATATGAGAAAAAGGAATTGATTTCAGGATGGAGCTGGTCTGTGTTTACAGACAATTGCTCCATTCCTGGTCTGGACCATCTGTCTGGCAGCCTCCCCACCATCCTCCTGTCTCCAAACTCCGACATAGTATTGGGAGAGTAGAAGTAGTCCTCATTTAATTACCACAATTGAAACTGTCAATTCATTCGTTAAGCAAAGCAGTTCCTAACAGCAATCACAACTGTGCTTCTATTCTTACTTTAGCTTTGCTTTATCAACTTGCAAAAGTCATAAAGGCAAGCATTGGTCATATAAAGTGCCTGAGTGGCGCAGGAGCCTGAGTGGCGCAGCAGATTAATGCTACTGTTAAAGGTAGTATTTAGCATTTAGCTTCCAGCTGCCTGCAATTACTGCGAGTTCAATTCTCACCAGGCTCAAGGTTGACTCAGCCTTCCATCCTTTCTAAGGTAGATAAAATGAGGACCCAGTTTGTGGGGGCAATAAGCTGACTTTGTATAAAATATACAAAAGTATGAAGGCTATTGCTTAACGCCTTGTAAGCCGCCCTGAGTCTCCGGAGAAGGGCGGCATATAAATCAAAATTAAAATTAAAAATTTTTTAAAAGTTCATTATTCATCCCTGTTGTAACTGTAAATGGTTGCTAAATGAGGCAGCGGCTAAACAAGGACTACCTGTACTAGTTGCATTTCAATGAGAACTTTATTGGGGTTCATGATCATGGGAAGTACAGTCAAGAATCCTGGATACGTTTTTTTTCCCCCAGATAGAATTCAGGGACAATATCACAATTGTGTGCACAATTCCAGGCCTTCATGCAAATGCCTGATCAGGTCAGGGAAGAACAAGCATCTTATCATGAGAAACTCTTTTCCAGATTTCTGAAGTAATCTGGAACCAGGATCTTAAATTCCAGCCTCTGCTCCTGAACTGCCTTGCTGGTGTTGCTGGTTCTGTTGGTGGTTGCCATGACAATATGACAAGATATACCATGAATTGAAATATTCTCAGTCTTTATGTGCCTTTTCTGAGTTGGTTTCTTTCTTTCTTTCTTTCTTTCTCTTTATTCCAGCGCTGGAGTTGGCAGGACCGGCTGTTTCATTGTAATAGATGCCATGCTAGAGAGAATAAAACATGAAAAGACTGTAGATATTTATGGCCATGTAACTCTAATGAGAGCCCAGAGAAATTACATGGTTCAAACAGAGGACCAATACATCTTTATCCATGATGCACTGCTTGAAGCAGTGACTTGTGGAAATACCGAAGTGCCAGCCAGAAACCTGTATGCATATATTCAGAAGCTGACACAGATAGAAACAGGAGAGAATGTCACAGGAATGGAATTGGAATTTAAGGTATTTTGTCTCCACATTTTTGTCATGATACATTCTGCATTGGGGAAAATCAACAGCAAACTGTTCTAGGATTAATGCAGCTGCTTTTATAGATTTAACTAGAAGATCTAATTTGTATCTGGTGGAATGCCATACAGAGGCTATTCTAATATGTGTTTATTAAAAAAAATGGTGCCCCATTTTTTTATTATTATCAAAAGCAATCCCAAAGTCTTCTTTGTCTCTTGCAGCGGCTAGCCAGCTCTAAAGCTCATACTTCAAGATTTATCAGTGCCAATCTTCCATGTAATAAATTTAAAAATCGCCTTGTTAATATTATGCCATATGAATCCACAAGGATATGTTTGCAACCTATCAGAGGAGTAGAAGGCTCTGATTATATCAATGCCAGTTTTATCGATGGATACAGGTACCGAACCAGTTTTTGTGATGTAAAAATGTACTAGTTACATATGTTGTAGTGGTCATAAATATAATTTGCCATTATGCCAAGTGTCATTTTAGCTCTTTTCAGATTCTTATGGTAATCAGTCCAGCACTACAGTTCCTGCCCCTAACTTTCCCCTAATCGCTAACCACATTGCTATTGTTTGTTTTGCTAGCTCATGTCTCTTTCTCAGAGTCATAGCATAACATATGGATTTACCTGTAATTATAAATTTAAATAACAATCTACAGAAGTTTCATTTAACTCAGATCCCAATTCCAGAATTTCTCCTGTAAAACAGAAAGCAAATGACTTAAGGATAAATTCATTAGAGGGTCACCTAAGATATTACGTAACTATTGAGTATAAGGATCAAATGTTGTTTGTAATAAAGGCCTGTCACAGAAAACCACTGTGTCCCTTTGTCTTAGCCATCTTAAAAATATAAATTAGCCTGTTCCATTTTCATCTTTGTGATTTGACTTCAGAACTTTTGCTATAGTTCTTGAATCACTGAAAGAGTTAACAAAGAATTGCTTTGGAGCTATAAGTCATTGGCTCAATAGAGTGTGTGACAGTCAGCCTTCAGTGTAAAAATGGAACTGTACCACTAAGTGTTTCCTAAGTGCTTTTTGTGACACACAAAATTGAGCTATTAGAGTTGCATTAAATTTTAAATAAGATAAAGGCATAAATCACAATATTAAGAGAACAATTTCCTACACAAACTTCCTAAAATAAAATAACTCTATGGTTGGATTAAATAACATTTAATATGTTTTAATATTCTTACCGTTAATAATTTACAGCCATATGTTTGTTAGAATGATGTTTCAGTAGAATGTTTATATGCAGCAAGAGAGCCTGCTGTCTTTTGATTGATAAATATTATTTTTTTTGCATTTTACATTTAGGCAGCAAAAAGCCTATGTAGCTACACAGGGACCTTTGGCAGAAACAACAGAAGATTTCTGGAGAATGCTTTGGGAGCACAATTCAACCATTGTAGTCATGCTTACTAAGCTACGAGAAATGGGCAGAGTAAGTTTTTATATATTTTTTTACATTCTAGAAAAAGAATGTCAGAAATTATGTTAATATAGGAAGAACAAGCAATTCTCCCAGATACTTCTATTTGGATCTATTTGTATTAATGTAGTTGGTAATTAGAAGAAGCGTGGTGGCGTAATGGTTAGAATGCAGTATTATCAGGCTAATTCTGCCGACTGCCAAGAGTTCAATTCTGACCAGCTCAAGGTTGACTCAGCCTTCCAGCTTTCTTTCCGAGGTCGATAAAATGAGGACCTAGATTATTGGGGGCAATATGCTGATTTTGTAAACTGCTTAGAGAGAGCTGTAAAGCATTATGGAGTGGTATGTAAGTCTAAATGCTATTTCTACTGCTAATTATCACTAAGCAAAATGAAAAGCAAACTGTTAACCCCTTTTGCATCTGAGCAGACAATGTTGGATTTGTTTACAGGTGGAATTTGGCAGCCACTCTGTGTGTATGTGTGTGTGTTTGTGTGAGTGAGTGAATGTGTACGTACATACATACATACATACATACCATTGGTGAAATCCAATTATTTTTTACTACCGGTTCTGTGGGTGTGGCTTGGTGAGCGTGGCAGGAGAAGGATACTGCAAAATCTCCATTCCCACCACACTCCAGGGGAAGGATACTACAAAATCCCCATTCCCTCCCCACTAATGGGGGAAGGATATTGCAAAATCTCCATTCCCACCCCACTCTGGGACCAGCCAGAGGTGGTATTTGCCGGTTCTCCAAACTACTCAAAATTTCCGCTACCGGTTCTCCGAACTGCTCAAAATTTCCACTACCGGTTCTCCAGAACCTGTCAGAACCTGCTGGATTTCACCCCGATACATACATATATATAAATAAGCACAGTGGCTGCCTAATTCCTCCTGCAAATGAATCCAACATTGTCTCTGCTCTCTCTCTCTCTCCCTCCCTCTCCCTCCCCCCCCTCTCTCTCTCACCCACACACACACACACACACACACAAGCTGTCTGTGTCATTCACAGAATTGTCATCATTTATGTTTGATAAATTTCAAAATAGCTTGCACTTCTTCTGCAATGCAGCTACAGGAATGTACTGTTTTAAATGGATGTACTGTTTTAATTCACAAGAGAAGCTTCACTCTCACAAACAGCAGTTGTGGGTGCAAAAGTAGGGTCATGACTGCACTTTGTGAACCAATTAAGGTTCACTTTACTGAATGTTACTATACACAGAAAATTAGCATGTCAGGATAAAAGGATAGATCACTTCTTATGCAGAAAGTACTTTTGATGAAAGGCACATTCAGCCACGCAGTCTTAAGATAATCAGTAGCGTTTTGTTTTTGAGTTATAGCTTGATAAGAGACAAACTAGCCAGCTAGCCCTTAACAAGAACTAGCATAGAGCTTTCCAACCTTCCTTGGAGTTGTAAAATTAACATAGAATGGTGAGAAAAAAGGCTGTTGGCAATGGGGTATCCACTAGGAGAGTAAAATTAGCCAATGTTGTAGTCACTGTACTGCAAGCAAAGTCCTGACCTTTTTATTGTGTGGTGTTTGATCCACCTTACAATTGCCCCAAGTTGACAAGCTTACAAAGTCTGCTTGTCATAATAGGGACATAACATAGGACTGTATATGCTGCATAGGACTGACTTTTCTTACAATAGCTGTTTGTAGCACATGTCTGTCTAGAGCTGCTTTGTTGTTGTTGTTGGGCAGATGATCATATTTTTTTAATCTAAGTAAGGTCACATTATTTTCCAGGAAAGCATATAGAATCTAGTTTAGACCCCCAAACTCTTAAGAAATTAAACTAATGTGCTTTGCAGTATGTTAGTTTCTTGCCTTCTTTAAGGAGACAGGCAGGGGAACTAATGGGTGCCAAGGAAATGGTAAGACGTTCACTTCCTGAGCAGCTGCTTGAGAACCTAAATCCTAATATTTGATTCAAAGGTTTTTGAGTGCTGTTTCAGAGGTCTGACTAAGAATTTCTACAGCAATTTTTGTACAAAAGTTGTGAGTTGTAAGTTTGAAAATTGGTTGATTGTGGTAAAAATTAAATTAAACACGAAATTATTATTTTTTTAATATTTAAATCAATATGGGATGTGTGCATTGCTTCATTTACAAGAACTGTAATTCTCTGACCTTTATGGCAGAAGAAAGAGCTATTCTTGTAACATTTAAACAGGTTATACATGTTATATAAGTAACCGAATGTTTGCCTTATCCAAATACTTTATCAATAATCAAGAACAATTTTTTGTATAGAATGGAAATAGCAAGAAATTACAATTACAATTACAAAACAATTACTATATATATAAACTGGCATATTTGAGTTGCTAAATAGAATTTAGCATGTAGCATCAGCAGAATTTGATAACAGTGTTGAAGAATGTAAGAGGGGTGGGCTGCCTAGGCTTAATTGAGTTCTAAAAATTACAAACCTCACTCCAAACCAAAAGAAACAAAATCCTAACCTCAAATAGGTGTGATTCAGCTGCATCTATTTTTCATCGCCTTCTTCCCATTGCAGTTTGTGTCTCTTTGAAACCATTGAATCTAAATGTCCAGCCCTCCCATATGAGTTAGCAACAGTACTCAGATTCATCATCAAAAGGCAGTTCTAAGCTTTGTTTGCTCTATGTAGTTATTTCCAGAAAGAATTGTGTAACCTTCAGCCAAACGTTTTGCTTTCCTATAACAAACGTATTATGGAATTCTTAATTCACTATTACATTTTGTCCCAAATTCTTGTTCTGAACTATTATTTGCTTATTCTGGTCTTTATTAGATAGAATTGCTATCTTTTGAAATACCATACCATAGAGATTGTTGGGAAACTGTCAGTTAGGCTAAAAGGAGGGTTCAAGTGAGGAATTAGCCTTGAATGCTTGCATAGCTAGATTGAGGCATAAACCTGACCTCTCCATCCCTCCACCAGATCCATGAAATCTTATCAGCTTGTTCCCAGAGGAAAGCAAGCAATCTGGCATGATTCTTACAGTATAAGTAGAAATCAATAAAGATGCTGACTTAAGCTATTGGTTTGGTTTGGTTTGGTTTGGTTTGGTTTGGTTTGGTTTGGTTTGGTTTGGTTTGGTTTTTGGTTTGGTTTGGTTTGGTTTGGTTTGGTTTGGTTTGGTTTGGTTTGGTTCGGATACCAGTTATATATAAAATCATCAAGACTTTGAGAATCAGCATCTTCAAATAGGTGTTAAGAAGGAATAATAACAGCAGCAATAACAATCATTAATCTAATCATCATTAGATCTTCAAATAATAAAGCCAATTTGTATACAAATAGTGTTTTCAGTAGGTTTTCTGGTGTATCTAGTAGTACTTCTAAAATCTGTATTGTTTCCAGATGCTTGATGTGAACATATTTTAAGAGAACTTTCCAGATTATTTCTTGAACATTATCCCAGTCAGTGCAGATGAATTTTGAAAATCAGGAATTAATTTCAAATGATAGAATTCCTAGGAAATATATTTAACACTGAAATTAATAGCATTTGACAGATGGACTGCTGATAATATGTCAATAGATTCACTTTGCAAGAAGTCCTAGGGTTTATATACAGATTGATTCAAAGATACCTTGTTCATTTTTGTAACCCAAACCTAAGAGTTAGTAAAATAATGGATTTAATTTACTTGATCATTCCTGCACATTGTTCATTTGATTGCAGCATTTGAAATAATCATTGCATGAATAAAAAATTACTTGTCAAGAAGATGAACACATTTTATTGGAATATTTTCACCTGAACTGAAAAAAAGAAAGTCCATTAAAAGGAAAGGAAGGACAGGAGTGCTTGAAAAAGTGCTAATAAACAATGAGGTTTCTTAATCCCTTAAATAAATGTAATCTTGAGAATGCTGTTTAAACTTTTGGAGAGTTAGGGAAAAACTTTGTGTCTTTCCAGAAAAGATCTATTCAGGAAACGAGGAGAAGCACAAAACTTTGATATAACAAGTCTTCAGATCTTATAACTGTCTTAAAGCTTAATCTTTTTCCTCAGAACAGGAATATTCTGAATATAACAATAAGTATGCCTCCTTGAAAAACAGAATTGGACAGAACTGTAAATTAAACAAAGAACTGAAAGTTTTTGCTTTTGTAGGAAAAATGCCACCAGTATTGGCCTGCAGAGCGCTCAGCCAGATATCAATATTTTGTGGTTGATCCTATGGCAGAGTATAATATGCCACAATATATCCTAAGAGAATTCAAGGTCACAGATGCCCGGGTAAGACAACATACTATGAATGTCCTACATTTTATTGTTATGCGTGTTTGTTTTGCCTTTTACTAGCAGTATTTTCTAACATATCTAGCAATCTAATTTTGTGTCCCAGTCTCTGATCAGTGATAATCATTATCCCCATAGGAATGGAAATATTTTTGGATCCGCAACACACATGGTCAGTAAGCTAGTCATATATCATTAGAACTGCAGCCTCATATCTAAACAGAAAGCAAGAGACATTCCCCAGTTTGGCCAGTTCATTCTGGGACAGGGGAAGAATTATGCCAGCCTTGGAAACAGAAGGGAGTTGGGGGGTGGGTGGGGAGAATATGGGGCACCATCTTTTGTTCATCTCATAAAAGCTAACAAGATGCTGTCAAGAAAATGCATTCATTTCATCTTGCTTTGAGAAAGTATTTTTAAAGCAACGTCCACATAGAAGTAAGTTATAACAGTGACATTAGTAAGAAGAGCAAAAGAATGAGAAACTGTTCTGTTGTATATAATTTAAGTCTGATGTTGATCAAAAGTGATACTAGGGAGAAGACAATGATCCACAGATGAAGCAAAAATCAATAGGAAAGCCAATTCCATGGTTTTAGGCTCTCTACTGATAGCCACCATTTTCTATGCATGTCAGCCTGGACAGTTTTAACATTAGATATTTGAGAATGACTGCTGAGATCAATTTTAATTTACTGGCAGTATGAACTGAATGAAAGTTATACTCTCAATAACCTGGTCCCAAGTCCTTTCGCACTTTGGACAGTTAAAACTTATTACAGCCTATGTGGAGTTAAATATTTAAAGTTCTTGAGACTCATCTGCATCTACATCAGGGCTATCAAACTCGCAGCCTGCAGGCCGGATGCGTCACGCCCACACCCGGTTTAGCGAAGGGGGAAAAGTCCCGATATGTCACGTGATGCTGCCATGACAACACGAGTTTGACACCCCTAATCTATATGATTCAGTTGATTCCAGCTGTAGTTTCAATTCCTCCTGGAAGTCAATCCAATGCAGAGCGGTTTCAGAAATGCATTTTGGAGGAAACTACAGAGCCTATTGTACACATACTCCAGATAGTTGCAGATGATTTACAACCAGAGAGAAGCCAGATCATAGCCATTATCTGTAGTTCAGCAGACAGTGATGAGTCCAAGAGCATCCCAGAGCTGTAAATCAGGATGCTGATTCTTTAAGGAAAGTGCCCCCCCAGGAGTTGAACCATTTTAGCCTCTAGGTCTTTCATCTTTTTCAGCATATTTTTTTTCAATCCGATCCCGATACATATGAAATAATTTCTCAACTTGTGTTAGACACTTAGATGAATAAGTAGAAGTGGACAGAAGTGGACTGAAGCACGTCTCGGATGAGGAAAATAAATTAGACTAGTGCTATATTTTAGAAGCCAAATGCCCTGGGATGCAATAAAAATGATCCAGCACTGCCACTATTTTGTGTAAAGAAAGGACTGGTAGCACCATAACATTGGGCTTTCTAATCTCAAACCATACAGTTACTGTTTTAAAACGGTCAATATTCAACTCGAGGCAGTTCAGCAATTTCCAAAACACTGAAGTATTTTAGGAAAATGAATGATTCTCATTCATAGTATTTGATCAGCGCAACAGTGTGAAAAAATATGTAATGTTTAGGTCTGGAAAGAAATTGACTGATTAAAAGATCTAGTTACTATTCGTCCTTTCCACCGCTTCCCTCAGTAGGGCTTATTTTTCAATACTTTTTTTTTTAGGAATTTTTATCCAAGACCGCAAAGATGTTACTGTTCAGCAACAGCCCTTAGGTCATGTAAGCCTGAAGGTTAATGTGGTGTGATTTAAAATCTGCAGAGCAAATAGCATTCTTAAGGGAAGCTTGACATGCTTTGCACATTATAATTTGATTCTTGGCATAGCTTATTCCTCAGCTTTTTAATCTGTCTGCAGAGAAGAGCTACAATGCCATGACCCCAACTGGCTAATTTTCATTTTATGTTTCTTATCTTGAAAGGCTAAGTCAAAGGTTCATCCTGATATAAGATTAACTGTATATAAACCTTTTTATAGACCCTGCTCTAGCCATTTTCAAGCTGTGATTTGTATATAATACTTCACACTTGATGGCAGGATAAATCCTTACCTTTCTCTATCTCTATCTATGGAAGCCCTGTAGCAATGATAATGATTAGACAAACTTACCAGAGTATTCTGCTTGCAAGGACATCCTCAAATTTCAGTTTCTTTGCCCAAAAAAACCCACCCCCTATTACTATTATTGTTAATGTTGACCTAAAGAGGAGGCAGCCACCATTTCAAGCTTAGAGAATAGAGTTTTGGTTGGCAAAAGTCCCTTAGCCAAAATAAGCATTTGATGCCTGTTCATTTCAGTGATTTTCACATAGGTGGAGAGATTTTCACATAGATGGTTATGTAGAATAAGGCCCCAATGAGTTTAATCAAGGTTGGATTTCTTTTCTTAACATTGAAACCTAGCATCTACTTCATTCTTTCGTTAAAATAAATGCACATTCAATGTGTTTAAATTAGCTTTGGTTTTGTTTTTTTTTTAAAAAAAGGTTGCAGTCCTAATTGCCCTGAAAATAAAATGAAATCAATCTTTTGGACAGACATCCCATTACAAGCTTTTGAAAGTGGTGATTACGTATTTTGTAGTGGCAGCTGCAATGGAGGTTTGCAGTGAAATACACTCTTGAAGTCAAATATTTGAGGGTCTTTTGTTACTGAAATTATACATGAAAATCATTCTGATCACCTGAAAGATATTGAATGAATACAAAATATTATTACTATATTGCCCATTGAGCTAATATTTACGGGATCACTACAAAGGAAGTAATCGTTGATAAAACAGGTTTGCTGGCTTTTAGAGTATGATCATATAGATCAGAGGTGGGTTTCAGTAGGTTCTGACCAGTTCTGGAGAACTGGTAGCAGAAATTTTGAGTAGTTCGGAGAACCGGTGGTAAAAATTCTGACTGGCCCTGCCCCCATCTATTCTCTGCCTCCCAAGTCCCAGCTGCTCGGGAGGAAATGGAGATTTTGCAGTAACCTTCCCCTGCCAAGCCTGCCAAGCCACGCCCACCAAGCCATGTCACGCCCACTAAGCCACGCCCACAGAACCAGTAGTAAAAAAAATTTGAAACCCACCACTGATATAGAAAGCTTTAATAAGGAGTGGAAAAAGTGCAATTTGGGGCTCACATATGGCCTTCAGCCTCCCATTTGTAATAGCCGTACAGAATGGGGACCACATCTGGAATACATTTTAAGATATTAGTTTGGAGGCTTTAATGAATGAAGCCTTGCAGCCAATGAAAATACCCATTTTACTCTGTGGAGATGCTCAGTCATCCAGGTCAATTGCCTGAAAAGTGATTTTTTTTTTCAAAAGGCAGGTGGTGGTGGTGGGAAGGAAGGATTGTATTTCTTGCAGTCAATTGCAAGAATACAATCCTTCCATCCCCTTCTCCCCCCCCCCATCCAGTCATAACCTATCCTTCCATCTCCCATTATCCAGTCTCAATTGTCAGTACCTATCTTCCAGTAGTGGATTCCACTTACCTTCGCTACTGGTTTGGAACTGTGAACATGCCCGCACAGCACATGCACAGAGCGCAGAGCATCCGTGATGATATCTGGGCCTGTGGGCGGAACCTCCCACCGCTGCCACTACCAGGTCACCCGAACCGGGGCGAACCGGTAAAAACCCACCACTGCTATCCTCTATCCCTCCCCCCCCCTCCTTCATCACAACTGATGAAGGTTCTTGGCTGAAAAACAAAACCTTTTGTTATTCTTCCTCAAGGAAAAAACAGTCCAGTTGCCTTTTGGAGGAAAAAAAAGCATTTTTGAGACCCTTTTTAACTCCTATAAAATTCCTTAAACTCCTTCCCAGTGTCCCATCCATTTTTGGACCTCGGCATGCCCTACAAAGCAGGATACAATCAATGGACATTGCATGCCCCCGACACTGAAGCCAACCTGGCTGGACCACACTGGCTCAGTAAGGCAGATCCCGATGTCATGACATTTATGTACCTTTTGTATATACCTTCTGACAGCATATTACTGAATTCTCCAACACTGGAAGTTTTTAAGAAGAGATTGGACAACCATTTGTCTGAAATGATATAGGGTTTCCTGCCTGAGCAGGGGGTTGGACTAGAAGACCTCCAAGGTCCCTTCCAACTCTGTTCTTCTATTCTATTCTATCAAGAAATCAAGTCCTGCAGACCTATTTATCTTCATTTTCATTCATTCATTCCATTCCATTTCATTTTATTAGATTTATATACCGTCCTACTCCCGAAGGACTCAGGGCGATGAACAGCCAGAAAGATAAAACACACAAACTACAACATTTAAAAGACAATATAAAAACCCATTAAATAATTTGGCTCAAAACAATTTAAAACACCCCTAATGTTTTAAAACCAATTTTAAAAGTTACAATTAAAAGGGAAGGTAGGCCAGGCCAGCCTGTTGAAATAAATAGGTCTTGAGGGCACGGCGGAAGGTGCGTAAATCCGGGATCCTCCGTATCTCCGGGGGGAGCTCATTCCAGATAGCAAGTGCCCCCACAGAGAAGGATCTCCCCCTGGGGGCCGCCATTCGACACTGTTTGGCCGATGGCACCCTGAGGAGCCCCTCTCTATGTGAGTGTACTGGCCGGTGAGAGGCTACTGGTGGCAGAAGGCAATCCCGTAAGTACCCTGGTCCTAAGCCATCTTCCTATCATCTTTCCCAAATTAGTAGTAAGCATGCTTCCTATGGAGAATGTATCCATATAAATTGAGAAAATATTCTCAGCAGAACTTAGGATGTGGCTATCCAGTTACAATTTCACCTGATTTAATATCTGTATTTGTGGAGTGTAACTCTCCCTTTTCCTTATTAGATTTGGCTTCTGTGGGAGAATGTAAAGTATTGCATTTGGGATACTAACTGCAACAGGAACAATATTTTACTGAATGTACTGACCCTATTGAAAGTTATTCTACAAAGTTATTGATATGTTGGGATATGCAAATTTAGTTAACGCTATTTGATAAACATATAGGTGTACGTGTGCCAAAGGCCACTGAATTACAAAAGTAATTTGAAGACTTTAAAATGAAGATTCAAGATTGACAGTAATGATTTAATCTAATCATATCCAGTTCAAAGTTTTGAATGGAAGTTTCTCCAATCCTCCTGACACATGTGTCTTTATGCAGAAAGCTGCCCAGAAAGGGTCATTACATGCATATTTCACATATTCTTTACGTATGGAGTTTTACTAGATTAAAATGTATTTCATTCCAAAAGATTAGCCACATTTATCCCCAATTTTACACTAAAGTAAGTAACTAAAATTCTGTGATAAGGAAAATGAAATTAACCATTGTTACATAATTATTCTGCACTTTCAATTCTGAGCGAAGTACAACAATGACTGTACCTTTTTCAACCCTTGGAAATTTTCTTCTGTCACATTCTGACTTTGTAGATTTTCCTTACTAGAATTATTCAGTCAGTTTCAAGCCTCTCCTTGCCATTCTAGAGTTAGGCATTGAGGATCACTATTGCCTTCACTATTTGGCCACCATGGATCATGAGATGGACAAACCCTGCATAAACTTAAAGGATCAATATAAAGCAGTATGCCATGGTTGGGCTCTTTATTCTGATTTGTGCATGTGTTGCAAATAGCAACAAAATTCCCATGAAATTGAATTATCAATTTTTTTTTCTTTCAGCTGTGATAACTGAAGAATGTAATGCCATTGCGAAAATAGTTTCATCTAAAGTGGAACTTTTGTATTAGCCCTGTGATTCAGTCTGTATTTCTTGGGAAAGTTTAAACATAACTTCCCACTTTTTTACACCTAATATTCCTTGTGAGCAATCAGGGTCAGTGAATTGGAGGAGCTACACACAACTTTTGAATAGTAAAGCACTTTCTGTCATTTGTATACAGTAGTTTGTTCCAAAGACCTTTCGTTGGCCATAGTAACAGACAACCCAAATCCAAATAACCTTCTAGTTCATCGGGTTAGATATCAAACAATCAGGTATGTGTGCACAATATTAATATTGCTATTAATATAGCAATAATATACAGTTGTTGTTTTTTCTATTGCTTACAGGGCCTCCTAGGTCAAAGAGTCAGATAGAATTAAACTTCACAATAGTGCTAGAGGATCTCATCCAAATTAATTAATATAATCTTGGCCTTTTGTGGGGTGACTTTTAAAAGTTAGCATCTCATTAAATTTCGGGACATAATTTTTCATCATCAGAGAGAACAATGTTTATTTCTTATGTACTTGTGCTAATTTACTGGCACCACACAAGTATTAAAAAAAAGACAAGCAATTAAAGATGAAGTGATTGTTACTCTGGCTTTTTGGGGTCTTGAGAATTTGTCCAAAGATGATAGTACCAAGTTATCCGTCAAATTCACCTAAACTATTTCCCAGAATCAAAACACTTCTCATATTTCATTGGACTCTACTGATTACAGAAATATAATGGCGCCCTTTCCATCTGCATGTTGTTGCTGAATAACGTACTGCAGAATTTGAATAATAATGACACGAAGTGCAAGTTATCATTTTTGTGTTGCTTTTCTATTTGAGGCAAGTTTTATTCACCTCTGTGTCAAGGCAATCAACTGAATGCATTGGTAGGAGAATGCTTTTTCCCCCCTTGCCTCCAGCTTCCAATCTGCTTTATAAGAATTCCCGTTCATCACTGAGATTCTTCATTGGTTTCATTCTGCAGAAAGTGCCATTTTAAGCAATTGGCCATCTAGCAATAGTTTTCCCGTCCTCCTCTTGTGCATCATGCCTCAATTATAGCTTGCAGGCACAGAGAGACAGCATCTGCAGTTTCTTCTACCATGGCTAGAAAGTGGATGCATTCAGAATGTAGAAGGTATCCAGAAGGCATGAAAGTTAATAGCAATAGTTCAATTTGTGTCATTTCTATTAAATGTCAGTTTCGATAGTCTGACAATATACGAAGACAAGTCAGCACAGCAGTTGAGGCAGGTTGATCAAATCCTTTGATACATAATCTGTTCTCTTGCTGCCAATTACTATAACCATTACTTTTTCCAGGGCAATGCTACAAATTATAAAGGACTTGATGTCTTCATTTTGATAAGATCTAGTTCACATTGCTGGGTCACTTAATTGATTTTATGGAGATCAAAAATGATAGCGGCCCTGTAGATGGTTAGAAAGTGAGACATGTAAAGACAGCCCTAATTAGGCAGGTGTCCATGTCACAAAGGCCACTATTATGAACTGTACTCATGATTTACAATACTAATCAAAAGACATTAGGCTATAAAGAACCATTCACTTGTGGCAAATTTGAACTGCCTCCAAGAAGCCATTTACTAAGGCTTCAGTCAGCTGGAAGTTGGTATTCTTTTATATTTTTCATGATATCAAAATGCCTGAAATTGTTACTGGTAGATTATATGCAAGCAGATGCGCCAATAACAATGTTAATTTTACAAGGCTATCTTGAATTATATGAGTTCGCTTTGTTTCTGTTGTCTGCCTGCAAAAAAGTTTCTTCAAATCTTGGTTTACAAGGTGGATCCAGAATTGCAATTTCAGCAATTGTTTGAATAAGAATATTCTTTAATACTTTAGGCTGGCTTCACTATCAATTGAATGCAGCTTTGATAGAGAAATAGATGCTATGAAGAAAGAAAGAACTAACATGAAGACAAATTAGTAACAAAAGAATCCTGTCCATAAACATTCAAGTGGCTTGGCTAGGCCAACAGAGGAACACATTGAAAAGGGACAAGAAGGTGGACATAATAGCGACCAATAGACAAAAGATATTTTTGTGTTTGTTGGTATTGCTTCAAAATCAAGTTTTCTCCAGGCCTGTTTTCCTGTCTGCAGATTTTGCTTTTCCAGGATTTAAATGTCAAAAACACCCTCTCCAGGGCAGAGAATAATTTGAGCATCACTGTGGTTAATGAAATTGCACTCTTGTGTCACTGTGGTTCTGTTAATGGCAAAAAAAGGAGCAAAAGGCAAATTTCATCATGACTGCAGTTAAATTGCCGGAAAGCTATCTTCATTTTATTGCAGGTCACTTTCCTTGTCAATATACGACCACAAAATCTAAATAAGAATGTTAAACATGTCATCTTCTGCTGTACTTCCCATCTGATCTCTCTGCTTTTCATTCCAAGGATGGCCAGTCCCGAACAGTGAGGCAATTCCAGTTTACTGACTGGCCTGAACAAGGAGTGCCAAAATCGGGAGAAGGGTTTATAGACTTCATTGGCCAAGTTCATAAAACGAAAGAGCAGTTTGGACAAGACGGGCCAATTTCGGTTCACTGTAGGTAAGAGAAAGAAACGCAGATGCTAAATATTGTTTGTCTAATTAAAATGACAAGAAGTTAAAAGATGGTAATAGCATGCCGAAGTAGAAATATAGGCACGGGGAAGCAAATGTCATGTCAGCATTGAGCTGACAGTGTGACCTTATTCATGCCATTATCTGACAGTTTTCGTTTCCCATCTACAGAAGTATGACAATAAACAGCATAGTAGACCCATGCAGTAGATCTAGCAGTCTCAGAAGGAAAAAAAGATTTTCTTCTACTGGAATTTAACTGGAATCTGGACAGTCATCTGTCAGTAATGCTGCTGCTAATATTCCTACAAATCCCAGTGTGAAGCAAAAGGTTGTAGTAGCTGACAATTATTTCCTCTAGTAAGCTTAGAAAAATAATATTTCATTGTTTTGTTGAATATAAATGGAACAAGGTGGGGAACATTTTTTAAATACAATCCTACAGAATATTTAAGATAGAACGTCTTTTGCTTACGAACTGCTCAGTGACTGTAATAAAGATTATCATAATCGTAATCTTTTGTGTTTATTTAATCAATTTGCTTTATGGATCGCAAAAACTAATGTTTTAATTTGATAATCATATGTTCAGTAAAAATGTGAAAGAATTGCACATTGAATTCTTGAATGAAAGAATTCCATTGCCTAATGGAAAGCGTTGCAAGATTTATACAATTTTCCAGTTCTGGCAATTCTGCAGCTTGTTTCTTCCTTATGGGACTATAGAACTCTAATATTGCCTATTTGTGAAAGACTAGGCAGGAACAAAAGTAGAAGCTTGCTTCTTCCTTATGGGACTATAGAACTCTAATATTCAGTCTTTGTAAAAGACTAGGCAGGAACAAAAGTAGAAGATAAAATATTATCAGCTGTATAAAAATGGACAGAAACAGCCTAGAAATGTTCAGGAACTACAGAATAAAGATAATCTCTCTCTGGGTATTTACAAAATGTGTACAGCAATTCTGCATCCATAGAAAGAATGCCTGTCCCCATAATTTGTTCAAAAATGTTGATTCAGGTGATGTGATATGTCTTCATATCTATGTCTTCTATGGAAGTGGAAGGGATAACTAATAGTCTAAAGAATTGAGTCAATGGAGGGAATACATAGCAAGCCAGCATGTATTAGATGTGAATAGTAGGAAGAAAATTCATATTTGTATCCTTCCAAAAAGTAAGGCAGAGTTATAAATCAGATACTATAATTAAAGGATTAGCTCTGTAAAATCATCTTTTGACAGAGTAGAAAATAAATACTGATCCTATTTAGTTAACACTTGAAGACATAAATTTATAGTCATATAATGACTCATATAATGGCAAGCTGTATTATAAGTGCACCTTAGAGTCCCAATTTTTTATTTCACTTACGTGAACATGTCACATCTCCAACGTGTGTACGAACTGTACCTTTCTAGGATATATATTTGTTCAATTTGCACTCACATTTATTCATACAGTTATGTGTGAGTGTCTGTGCATATATATCCAGGGAAAATGGCAGGAAAGAGAAAAAAACCAACCAGCAACAAACTGGATGGACTCAATTGGACTCAAGCATCAATGGGCACACCATTGCAAAATCCGAAGGGTTGGTTGGGGACAGATTATACTGCAGAAAGAGTACTAAGAGTAAATGCATACGGATAATTCATGGCATATAATCAGAGAGAGAAAGAGAGATTAAGAAAATCATTAGCTAAAAATCCATAATCATAGCAAAAGTGTTTGCTTCCCTCGTTTATTTGTACAGTTAAAAAAACGTATCTACAATACAACTGTTTATATAATCCCCTAATAGATTTCTTGTAAGAAAAAAGAGGAAAGAGTAATTGTAACATTTGTTCTTCATTTTGTTTTAGTTATTGACATGGACTGGTTTGCAGCAAACGTGGCAAAATCCTGCTTTCATTTTCTTTCAATTTAAAATAAACAGTAATAACTTGAAATCATTATTTTAATCTGAACATTCCAATATTTTATCCCATCAGATTGTAACATGTGTTTTCAGTTAATTAATATTTTACATTATTAGCCATGTTGTCATACAGTTAGGCCAGGAGCCTGATACAATAATTTGGAAGAGTAACCCAACATCCAATAATGTTAATCTTTTAATGGGTAGTAGAAAAAATGCTTTCTCAAAATACTTTCAAAGCACAATCTTTTAACTAAATGTAGTTCTTCTGCTATCAGCTGGTGTATGCTTTAAAAAAATGATTTTCAAATATCTCTGTTGATAAAGATCTCCTAGTTTTTCATTATCTACTCCTACTCAAAAACAGTGTCTTCAAATAACATTCAGAATTTCAGTTACAATTACTACTTGGCTTAAGCAAAAAAGAATCACCTTGCAAGAATGTGATTTACATGTTCAGTTTATAGAACTTGTATACATAAGCTGTATTCCATCCACAGTTTGGTGTTCAACTAAATTTTGCTTTTTTATTTTTCTTTCTTCTCTCTCTCTCTCTTTCTCTCTCTTTCTTTTCCTTCCTTCCTTCTTTTCTTTCTTTTTTTCTAGTGCGGGTGTTGGAAGAACTGGAGTGTTCATAACCCTAAGCATTGTGTTGGAACGAATGAGATATGAAGGTGTTGTAGATATTTTCCAGACTGTCAAAATGTTAAGGACGCAGCGGCCAGCCATGGTACAAACAGAGGTGAGAAAAACAGTTTTCTACATACACACACATACATCTGTATATACATATACATTGGCCCCCAATACGGTCACTCATGCTCATACTTCCCGCTTGGACTACTGCAATGCTCTCTACATGGGGCTCCCCTTGAGGAGCACCCAGAGGCTCCAGCTGGTCCAGAATGCGGCCGCGCGGGTGGTTATGGGAACGACATGGCGCTCCCATGTGACCCCCCTTCTGCGCGAGCTGCACTGGCTCCCGGTGGTCTTCCGGGTGCGCTTCAAGGTTTTGGTTACCATCTTTAGAGTGCTCCATGGCATCGGACCGGGGTATTTACGAGACCGCCTTCTGCTACCAATAGCCTCTCACCGACCAGTACGCTCCCATAGAGAGGGGCTCCTCAGGGTGCCGTCGGCCAAACAGTGTCGACTGGCGGGCCCCAGGGGGAGAGCCTTCTCTGTGGGGGCACCTACCATCTGGAACGAGCTCCCCCCAGAGATACGGAGGATCCCGGACCTGCGCACGTTTTGCCGTGCTCTCAAAACTTTTCTATTTCAGCAGGCTGGCCTGGCCTAACTCTCCTCTTTTAAATTTTTTAATTCGTGATTTTATAAATTGGGTGTTTTAATCTGTATTTCGGCCAAAATATTTAATAATTTTAAGGGATTTTTAATATTTGTATTATCTGTATTTTATCTTGGCTGTTCACTGCCCTGAGTCCTTCGGGAGTAGGGCGGTATAGAAATTTGATTAATGAATGAATGAATGAATGAATGAATGAATGAATGAATGAATGAATGAATGAATATAGTAATGATCAAATATATATCTTTATTTGCTATTTGTTATTTATATTTTGTAACATAAGCCAATATAGAACCTACAAATAGACTATTTTCATTCTTTCATTGAAGGATGCTTTAAGCAATGAAGACTTCCCTTGAAATATAAGGCAGGATGAGAAGAAAAGAATAGTAGCACATCTTTATTTAGTTCCTGATTGGGGACTAAAAGGGTAGCAACTGGAGGTGGTTTCAGTATCACCCAGTTGTCCACTGCAATTTCCCAGAGACTAGTAGCTAGAAAGCAGGAGACCATGAGTTCTAACCCTCCCTTAGCCATGAAAGCCAGCTGGGTGACCAGTCACACTCTCTCAGCCCAACTTACCTCACAGGGTCGTTGTTTTGGGGAAATTAAGAGGAGGAAGGAATATTAGATATATTTACCACTTTGAGTTGTTTGTAAAAATAATAAAGGCATTATATAAATTAAATAAATAAATCTGATTGAAGGTTGAATAAACTGGTGCAATTTTTCTGAACCTCCCATCTTGAGCCCAAATATCTGCAGAGGATTGGGTCCACTTGCATTTTAGTACAGCCTCAGGTGCGATGGAAATCCCTGCATTGTCCAAATTCCTGATTATTTGGGAGATTCTGTTCTCCCCGAAGGAGACACAAAATGACAAGGACCTGCATTTTTTATTTCGAGTAAGACCATAAATGTTCTGGGATTTAAAACAAGGGTCCCCCCTCCCCAATCCTTGCCCTCTAGACTCACGATAGAATTCCTTTCTCTTAACTCACACCTTGTTTTCACAATAACAGCTGAAAGATCCTCTTCCTTACTTTACTTGGATTCAGCAAAAATCTGTTGCTGCACCTTAGGGCAAGAGGGGGAAGAAAAGGAGGCTGTAGATCTAACAATCAGTAAAACGAAGAAGAACCACAATGCTAAAGGATGAGAATGTTTCCCTCTTTATTATCTTGTTATATATCTTAATGCCTTATGTTGTTTCGGGACAAAGATACAGTATTAATTAAAGTTATTGAGAAAGTTATTGAGTTGGATAATTTGGAATTTTAAATATAAAGAAAAAAATGTTCTGTCGATATTAATTACAGTTAAGGAAATCACTGTTACAAGCATAAAATTATTAGACGTCTTCATACAAGATTAAATATAATATTAAGAAAAAAATACTACTGATTACATCAAAGTAATTTTTGTGCAATATTCATGAGCTAGTTACTTATTTATTTTATTTATTTCATTAAATTTCTATACCACCCTTCTCCCGAAGGACTCAGCCAGAGTCCTTCGGTGTACAGCCAGAAATAAAACCATGACAATAGAAAAATTAAAAACAAGTAAAAACAATTAAATCAATTGGCCAAAAATTCTAATAAAACAACAACTAGTTACCTAGTACTGAGGGCTTCATTAAATAATTACTTAATGTGAGAGAGACAGACAGACAGATACAGATAGAAAAAGAAAAAAGAAATATATCAAAGGTTAGGATTAGAGTTGTCTGAAAGCAATTAGTCAATCTAGTGCAATATTCTTTTTCAGGAGCACAAGAATGAAACAAGGTGCATAGGGCAGGATGTTCTGAAGTAGTCTTCCTACTGCTGCTTTTTGTGTTTTTTGCAATTAAGATTACACCAAAAAGTGCTGGAGGGCCTGCTTTGAGCTAGTCTACTAAAAATACAATGGATCACTTGCTGGAGGGGTGACTTAAGGCACCTCTTGGACATTCTACTTATGACATTCTCTACATACAACCTGGTACCAGACTTTCTTGTAGATCTCAACCAAAAGGCTGTGTGTTAGATGTTTGGTCTCCCTGTCCATTCTGTAATTCCATAATTCAGATGCAGTTCTTTAGTGGTTACCACAAACATGAATGTTAAGCACATACATCACATTTATATGTATCCTGTTAGGGAGATACAAATTCTCTGCCAAGGATAACAGCCACTCTGATTTAGCTTTTAAACCAAAATTATCCTGATCCCCTATACATCTGAAAAGGTAAGGGAACACAGAGCTTGTGTAAATACAGAAAGTGACCTCTTTTTTCTGTTCTCTTACTCAGGATTAGAAAATTGTCAATGTATCTTTACTGAGCAAATATATTCATTTCAACCCAAATTTCTCTCTCTCTCTCTCTCTCTCCCTCTCTCTTTCCCAAGGATCAGTATCAGTTCTGCTATCGAGCTGCACTAGAATATCTGGGCAGCTTTGATCACTATGCAACGTAAAAAACAAATGGAAAAACGCTGACCCATTCTGGATTGTTAACTACAGGCCCTTTAAGATCCAGAGAGCCTCTTCTGAGCCATACAGTGTGCTTGAGAAGTACTTAACTTTAAATTAAAGACCAATTAGTGGGAAATATTAACAGGAAAAAAAAAACTGCCGGGTGAACCAACAATTCAGTCATCAGTAAACTTAACCAGAAACATAATTAAAGAAACTTGACTGGGTTGAGGCACCGGAAGGATTTCAGTTTACAGAGATCCCAAGATTCCGTTTTGATTGAATTTGAATGAAGAGGAAGAGGACATTCCTTCCAAGGACGATCATCTCGTTCAGGACCGCATGATAATGAACGATGCCAACGTTAGGTTTCTGCAATTCAGCGCCAGATGTTCGTCAGGAAGCCCGTCCCGGCTCCTCCAGAACAAAATCACCTCTTGGTTCCAACATCCCCCCCTTCCTGCCATATTGCTCATCAGTAACCTTTGGTGTTGGGAGGGCAAAGGGCAAATGTTTGAAAAGAAAGTCCTTGATTTAGTTTTCTAGTATTGTAAAGATACTGCTGACCTGTGCTTCATTTTTAACTGTGTAAACTTTTCTTCCTTTTTTAAAAAACAACAACAAAAGTTTATCATTCGATGAAGTAAATTCAAACAAAAATTGCATACCTGTTCAATTTTTTTGTTTGTTTCTGAATTGTAGTTTTTTTTTTTATGCTGTAGAACTGTTATCTGTAATATCTCGCTGTAGAAATGTTAAATAATTTTGACAATTTGCACATTTTTGTGCAGCCCTATATTTATCTCCAGGACCACATTCTCATTTAGATCTTGCTTTTACATTTGATTTTTTTTTTCCAATGAAATATAAATCAGTTAATCTACATATGGGAGATTTTGTTTTTATTTCTTTTGGAATCAACAGGGAAGCGCAAGTATAAAGCTGCTACTAACATTCACACGTTTCTCTTTCTATTATAAATATATGTATATCTCTCTCATTCTCTCTCTATCCATCTACAACAATAATACGTAGATAGACAGAAAGAAATGCACACAAATATAAATATATAAATATAAATATACATGTATCAGTTCTTCCATGACTTGGATTTGTTGAAGTAGTAGGGGGAAAATCCAAATTGATACATTCAGACCATACAATATTTCTACACATCTCTGTATTTCGAGGTTTGCTTTTGAGGGATTTGTGTTTCTTTTATCTTTTTGTTTTGCTTTCTTTTCAATTTCCTAGGGGAAATGAGGAATGCACATCAGTGATACTTGAAATTCAACCTTACCCAAATCTAACGGGTAGAAATCATGTGCACACACATCATTCATCACCCATGCACATTAAGGTTTGATCCGTCATTACTAGAAGAGAAGGCCCATTAACTCAGTGGGACTTACTTCTAAATAAACCTGCTTAGGGTTTGCATTGCATATCATGTTATAGCTGTCAGTGAGATTTCAAATTTTAGTGCAATAGCATCCATAATAACTATAGGAAGTAGGCATATGAAGGAGGTCAGTGCATATCCCTAACAGAAGGAAAATGCTATAATAGTTGTCAAGGGTTTTTAAAATGTATCCACTTATAAAATTGTCCACAGTATAGAATAAGATATTTGGAATGACGACGTATAATGGGGCAAAGCCAAACACACGTTGCTCTGTAGGCCAGAATGTTTTCTGACATACAGCACCAGTTAGAAATGCTGTTTTTCAGTTTTAATTTTTGCATTTAGAGTGCCTTATATTTGATGCCTATTTTGATAGCATTGCTTCATTATTATTTTTTGTCTATGTTTGCTCCAACAGGATCTCTGTGATTTCTCATCAACCTTTTTTTTTCCAATTAACACAGTCTCTTTTCAGCATGTGAAGTTTTTCTTAACAATATTCATTCCAAGTTTTCACTATTGATATTTTTTTTATTCATACCAGAGGGTAGTCAGGCACCCTGTAGGCACAGGCAAACTATTTCAAAAATGCCCCCAGCTGGCATTCATAACTATAATTTTACTTTGTTTTGTTTTATAGACATGCTGCTATTCTAAAAATATAATAAAATACTCCTAATACTTTAGGAATGGCAATTTGACTGGGTTTGGATCCCTACTCATGTACGTGAATTTTACTGGAGGCCACAACAGGTTCTTTTAACTCAAGCTAGGAGGGCTCCTGAGATCAGCTGGATTGGACAAAGGACTTACGGTGGTATTGTCTAATGACAACTGAAGAAATGGATTGTGCCAGTTGAACAGAAGCCATTGTTTCTTATATTGGGCTAGGTCTACCTGGTGCCATGTTTGATCGAAATATAGATCACAAAGAAATGTTTTTAGATGTGTTTCCATAAAGAAAAGCAACCAAGAGTATACCTACATTAGCATTTATTTTTCCATGTTTTCCACCATTACCAGAAATAAATATATTAAAAGACCAAACACTAGAAAGCATTCTATTTGAGCACTTTTATATATATATATATATTTTAAGAAAATCAATTAAAAAGCGCAAAAAACAAAAAAAATCCACATACATATGTATAATAGTTTTTAAATAAGCATTATAGAAGGCTACCTCAGAGTGAGATTCTTTAATTCTACATCAGAATCCAACATGAATGTGTGCACTGCATGTTTCCTTTTGATTTGTTTCTGTCAAAAATAAAAAAGGGCCAGGCTACATACTGAATTCACACATTGAATCAAAAGGATGGCTCGACAGATTGACGTGCCATCCAACGATATTGGAGAGGCATGGCTGCATAAACGCTTTGGGTGAATTGGCTTAAATTCAAGCACAAACCTGCAAGGGCCAAAGCAATAGAATTTTTCCCCAAAGAGCAGGACCGTGTAACATGGATCGGTTGGGTCTTGCAGAAACTGGGACGCTAAAGAATTAGTAATCATAGGTATAGCTATCAGCAAGGTGTGGCAGAAGAATGGGGGGCTTAGGAAGCAATCGTACATCAGCAAGAGCTCATTGTGTCCAGGACAGGGCACAATTGGCGCACAAGATGGATCTGTGCAAAGTTGCCTTCCACCATCCCTGTAGAGGCCATGTGTCTAGGACAGGAGTGTCAAATTCACGGCCCACAGGCCGGATGCATCACACACTGGCTATACCCACCCCCTGTTTAGTGAAGGGGAAAAAGTCGCAATATGCCAGGTGACGAAAACTTGAGGTCACGAGTTTGACACCCCTGGTCTAGGAGGACTCCAAATGTGCCCCAGCTCTATCTGTGGACATCTTGTGCAGACATGCCTTTTAAGTGGCTCACTACAGATCAGGGCCAGCCTTTCTCCAACATTCATTTGTTTTGTAAAAGAAGATCATACGCTAAATCAGTAGGAAGGGCGCGCACAACACAGAAAAGACGCCAATTAAATAGCCAGTCCTCTCCAAGCAACTATTCAAGAGTTGCTTCTAAAAAGATTTCTATCCAAATCATTGATGTGCATTCCATTTGGGTTTCTTTGCGGTGTGGTGATTTTTCTTCTTCTCTCATTTCCTTTTTCTTTTTTTTTTCAACGAGTCGGTCTCGTGAATCGTCATTCACCATAGTCGGCATTTTGTTTCCTCAGCATAATCAGTACGGTGCTATTATTTACCTATGTATGTGTAGTTATGTATAATTTTGTAATTAGTTAATGACGGAGAAATACACAAACTATATAAGAATTATTTGTACAGAACTTTTATTTTAGCTCTCTTTTTAAAAAAAAAATGGTTTGCATGGTTAGCCGTTGGTGAGGATGGATGGGCAAAGGAGGGTGATCTGCACTTTCTATATCTTTGTACTATGCACTGCCCTATTGATTCTACACCCAATAGTATTATTACTTGAACCCATCTGTAAGAAAACCAATTATGAAAATCCACTTGTGTGTATGTAAATAACACAAAAACATGATAAAAGAGGGGGAAAGTTTGCAGGGGCAACAATGAAACACAGATTTCCCCCCTTTTTTATTCCCCCCCCCTTTCTGGTTTTAATCTTTTAATTTTTAAGAGCCCTGATACTCCAAAAGACTATCATTAGAGGGCTGAGGGTCCCGTCATCCATCTTGTTATGTGGCGTTGCCATTCAGGCTTGGAGTGTCTTTACAAAAATAATACAAGTTGTGTTCTCTGCTCTCGTTTTGGATGCCTAGACTGAAAAATTAAAACAAAACAAAAAAAAAACCTTGTAAAATGGCTTGTTAAAAAAAAAAATACAATTACCTCTAATCAGTAGTACGCGTAAATGTTTTACAGAATGAAAGGCGTGCTTTTTATTTTCTTACTTCGTTACATTAGTGGCGAAAGAAAGTCTGTATGGAAATCAGTTCTTTGCTGACACAAGCTCCATTTGTTACAAATGAATTCTAATAAAAATGTCAGTGTTACGCAACTCCGGTTGTCTTTTCTCACACTTCTGCTTGTCAGAGTCCCTTGTTTTTTATTTCACCAGATACCACCTGATAGGGCTTGTCAATTTGTTGAACTTGCTAAAAAAAATGAGGTGTTTGTTATTTATCTTTGTGTTTTTGCATTTCTGACCAATGGCGAAAATAAATGCTCTGCTTAAAAAAATGACCAGGGACAGCCTGAGTTCACTAGCAAAGCAACCGCCATTTGAAAGGACAGCAATATCTTGAAGCAATTTTCTGGGTTGTGGAAGCCCTAATGCCTTCATGACATTATCTGCCATGTATGGTCCCAAATTTGTTCATCAGTTTCTTATTCTTGCAGGCATAGCCTCTGGTAATAGGGAATATCTTTGATCTAAATTAGATAATATATCATTTCGCCAAAGCTTTGATTTTCTTCCTCCTATAAGAAGGGGAAAAGCTTTCTTGACAGAGTTTTTATGTAGCAGCATAAAATGCGGTGACTACAGTCCTGTGAAATACGGATTTTATGTTCATCTGCTACAGTGTTTGAAGCTCATTGCTTGCTTCAAAGGACAGCCTTTAAACTGGCAAACACTGGTCCGATATTAGAACAGATGTACGGTTTTCTGTCACCCAGAATCTGTAGGGATTAGACCAGCATATTCATATTGTTAAATCAATAAATTCCACAAGTGTGGATCATCTGCATATACAATCATAAATAAATGTTAAAGTTGCCGATCTACACACAACTGTAGAGAGACTTTGCAAGGAATGGTTCAAGCTACAGGTCTTTAATGCAATAACGTTAGAGAGGTTCTTTACCGCTTATTTGGTCAATAGGATGGGTACATGCACCTAATAAAAAATAATGAAATGTGAGCAGCTGCATCAGAAATGCAGAAACCAATGTTTCTTAGCACAAATGCCTCAGGCTGTCAAGATATCTGTATTTTAGGGAACCAACCACCTCTGAAGAACGCCTGGAGAATCTTCGTCTAGGACCTTTGTTCAGGCACTCCATGGAATGTACACAGTGCTTGTTGTGTGTATTCAGTCCTTGAGTGTTGAAACCTAATCAAAACAGGTGCTGAAAATGCAAACATCCTGCCTTAGTTCTGTCTTAAGTGATCTAACAGTATGATGTTTACTTCGCAGCTGAACAAAATATTGATTCGGGAGCTTCAAACTCAGCATAGCAGTTGTATTTTTATTGTGATTGTTATTCTCTGGAACAGCTCACAACGAAGGATAGTTCTGCCACTAACACAGATTGGTTATCCTCATTCTGAAGGCCCTTTTAGTTCTTACAACGGGGGGGGACCAATTAAAATGATGTATTTGGTGCTCTTTCCAGTGGCAAACTTATATATGTGGGGTGCGTGTGTGTATGTTAAGTAATTATATTGCCGAAGCAGAATATTTTTGGCATTCTGAAATAATCTTGAGTAAAAGAATGGTTTTCTAACTATGTGTGTATAGACTGCTGTTTGAATAAATTTCCATTTAAGGAAGAGCTTGCATCTGTGATGATGTTAGTAATGGATAGAAATTGTTCCAACGGTCTCGCAACAATGAGTAAATATGTACAGAAACATCTGGTAACAGCTTTTTTTAGGAAAGCCTTAAAATGGGCAGTATTGGGCAGTAACAGGTAGAGATAATGATGTATCAAACCTATAAAAGGCTTATTTTTTAACCTATTGCTCTTGCTATCACTTGAATTTATTCAGCTGACTTATGTCAGCAAAATATCAGGAAAAGACTTTTCATTATTACAGCAGACAAGTAAAGCAGCAGGTAGGCGTACCTTACCAGGAAGTACAATATATGTGGCTCAGTGACTTTTGCAACATAAATTGCTCAGTGACTTTTGCAACATAAATTGTTACCATTTTTCCAAGTCATTAAGACATCCATTGTTACTAACGTATGTTAAATGTGCAAAATACTTTACCTCACCCATTTTCATAATTTCATGGAGGTGTGCCTCTGGCTCCATTTTCCCAAACCAAGATTAAAGTTGGTGGATAATGTTTATTTTTGCAAGGGTAGATCCTGTGGATTTGTATTCATAATCCCCATAAATTACTTTGGGCCCCTCAAAACTCAATACAAGGAATACAGATATAGAGTTTTTCATAGCATACTGATTTTGACTGGTAAATAACAAGTAAACAAAAAGCTCAGAACACCCAACACAACCTCTGAGATATAGATGATGCAGGGAGGTAGAGCCCTCTCAGTCCCCAGTTTGTCTTGCATTATCAGTAATAATAGCAATAGGAATAGCACTTAGATTTATAAACTACTTCTGGTGCTTTACAACTCTCTCCAAGCAGTTTACAGAGTAAGTATATTCCCCCCAAATATCTGGGACTTCAAAAGTATGGAAAGCTGAGTCAATCTTGAGCCGATGAGAATGGATCTGCTGGAAGTCGGCAGAATTGGCCTGCAATACTGCATTCTAACCACTGTGCCACCACATAATAATGTGACATTATACTGATGTGGTAGGGATATCAGAACTTCTATGGTGAAACAATCACTAGTTACACTGGCAACCGAGGTTCTGCTGTCCCACCCAGATAACCAGGCCTGCACAGTCAGGATTCAGGGTGAAATGAGGACAAAATCTTCCTCAATAGGATACTTACGACCACCACTCAGCCTGAGTTCCTTGCAATCATTAGCCTCTTCTCTCTCTCTCTCTCTCTCTCTCTCTCTCTCTCTCTCTCTCTCTCTCTCTCTCTCTCTCTCTCTCTCTCAATCTCTCTCAATCTCTCTCTCTCAATTTCTCTCTCTCTCCCTTCCTCCCTCCCCCTCTTTCTTCCAATTTCTCATAATCATACACATTTTCTCAAACACTGAATTAGCAGCAAATATGGCCATATTTGCAACCCATTAATGTGTGTCTTCGTGCGAGAATTGAGGACCTTGGTAACATAGTTCAGGGGTATCAAACTCGTGGCCCGCAGGCCAAATGTGTCACATGCTGGCCATGCCCACCCCCAGTTTAGCAATACGATATGTCACATGACGACAACGTGATGCTGTGAGTTTGACACCCTTGACCTAGTTCATATAGGCCCAGGAAATGTGAGGATTCCTCTGTGGCCTCCCTTCACTTTTAAAGGCTTGGGAAGTGAAAATGAAATGGATATTTTCTTGGTAGTTCTAATACAACCATCAGATCTGCAGTCTATCCTACTAAGGAGGAAAATAGGTTGTAATTCCTTTAGAGAGGCCCGTGATTTGCTTTGCTTTGGTTACAAAGCTGCTAAACAAAGTCATATCCAGAGGCCAAAAATCAGACGTGCTGAATTAACACCTGGAAATATTTTTGATAAACAAATCCTGGAGTAGACTGGTAATATTCAAATCTTTATTATACAATAGAGTAAAAGTATACAAAACAAGCAGAAAATAATGCGATGTAAGAAAATGAAAAAAAGATACAAGGATATAATTAAGCCTCCCACCCTTCTATCAGGTAATGATCATCTTATCTGTTCTCCCTCTTCTTTTTAACCCTTTTTCACCCCCAAATCCAGAAATCTTCAATTTGTGTTGCGATTTTTTTCTCTCAACACAAAATCCATGTAAGGTTTCCAGTATTACAAAACAATCTTGGTCGTTTTTTCCTCTGCCATTGCTTGGCCATTTCTTCAAATTTAATTGATTTTATAATCCAATCTTCCATTCTCAGTATTCCATTGCTTTTCCAAGTTTTTGCATACAATATTAATATTCAAATCTTGTAGATGTTAACGAAATGTCAACCAAAGTTAATTGTGGTTTCAATGTTATGAATGTGTGCTTGGAAGTCCCACTGGATCCTGAGTTTCCCATTGTTTATTTTAGTATGCATGTTGTCAACTATCAAAGTCTATCAGAGAAAGCAGGACAACATTGAAGAGTATCTGCTATTGATGTTACTGTACATGCATTTCCTAATCATCTAATAAATATGTGCTTCTTCAGAAGAACTCAAATATACTGATTATTTGTAGGTAAATTTGTGCTTTATATTTGCACAACTGATTCAGAAGTTGTATTTAGACACAAGAAAGGTGATCCAGCTGGAAAGACTCATAAAACCATGGACTCAAAGGCTTTGAGTACTATTGCCTGTAGATAGATGTCCATGACTAAATAAACTCATACTTTGCTGCTTAAGGTTCATGAGAACCTTTTTGAGAACTAGTAGGATTATGTAACACATATTTAATTAGGAGTCAAGTAAAATCTTATACCAGAAATCAAATATATGGAAAGACCATCCTTCTCAAGGGTCAATGGTAGCATTGAAGGTGGCAATAATACCATACGAGAACTCACCATAAACTCTTTGTTTGTCTGGCTATTTGATTCTAGCAGGATATATTTTTTCAAGAAATCAGTAATTAAATTAAACATAGTTCTATTCACTTATTCCAAATATCTCTATCATTTTAAGTCAAGGCTAGAGAGTCTTCATTTGGCCAATGCCATGTATAAACATGTTTTGGGTCTCTTAAACTTTCAGGGTCTGGCCAATAGTAATGTGCAGGACCACATTTTTTGCACAGTATAGAGTTTGGAAGCTTTTCAGGTCCAAATGGAGTGTAGGGTTAAGGTACTCTTGAATGAAGATTGGTACACTCCTATCTAGGATGGTTGTCTTCTTCCACCAAGCATGCAGCGTTGATAGGGATGCACATGGAGTGGTGAGAGAGGAAGTGAGAGTGGTGATTTGGCTTGCCTAGCCAGCCAAATCAGCCAAATCAACCCTAGCCATCAATGTAGTGATAGATGTTGCAACCAGGTCCCTCTTGCATCCAGGTTCAGGTACTGATTAATACTTGGTCCTGCCTCTCTGAAAATCCAGTCGAATGTATGGGACAGTGAAGTTTTAATTAGTGTCTTAAGCTTCTAACTTGATATCTTAACCCTCAGAACCTTGCAAAAAAAAAAAAGAAAAAGGCAGACACCCCAAAATTTTGGCCCCACAAATGCCAAAGAAGGTCTAATCTGC